AGGATAGACTGTCTCTAAGTTATCAATCCTTATATTTTGGGATACTTGAAAATTTCAAAGTTATGTTGCTACTTTATATAGCATACATTTTTTTCTCAAGTAATTTTTGAATAGGAGTTCCTTCCTTCAGAAAAGAACTTCTTATGTAGCCTGTATGGTGTTCACCTGCCCATATTTACCTGTTTTTCAGGGAGTGAACAGCTTTTCTTCCAAACTCTTTCCTTCTTCCATAATGTCCACAAAGACATCATTAAATGTGTATTTTGGTGTGTGACTCTGTACACAGACTTTCTTCACTCTAAACTCACTGAAGTGAAGAATTTCTTCCCACTCGGAATCAGCTTTTGTAACTGCTAGCCAAGTATTCTTCTACACGCATTACAGTAAGCTTAACCATACTGCTGTAGAGCTGCTCTACCCAGTACAGTAGCCGCTAGCCACGAGTGGCTGTTAGGCACTTAGGGTGTGGCCAGTCCAAGTTGAGATACATTGTCAGTATAAAATACAGACTGGATTTTGGCGGCATAGTGTGAAAAAAGAATGTAAAATATCTCAAATTTTTCTTATCAATTACATGTTAAAATAATACTTTGAATATATGGGTTACAAAAAATACATTATTTTAAAATAATATATTAATTAATTATTACATAATTATTTTCACCAGTTTCATTTTACCTTTTTTAATGTGGTTATTAGAAAACCTTAAGTTCCTTACATGGCTCACATTATATTTCTAACGAACAGCATTGCTGTAGAAAATGTCATGTCAGTCATTATCCAGGCAGCCAAATCACTATCTTTGCTTAATAGATAGGTCTATTCCAGACTTTCTTTTCCACGATTCCTTGGAAACTGCATGTAGTTGCTCGCTTATCATGTGACTTAGCAATGCCTGTGTGTGACTTGGGAATAGTCTCTTCTACACATAGACACAAGAAGGATCACACAATGTCATACCTAGTACCACTCAGAAAAAAGGTTTAGACTATCAACGTGTATGAAACCATTGCCTTTGTTGTAAAATGTTGCATTCATCATTTAAAAAAATAACTTTTACCATTGTAAAGGTTATATTACTTTATGGATCTTTACCTGTGAGCTTTGTAAATGAATGTTACATATGAAATAAGTGTTAATGATGAAAGCCTAATTGTTTACTGTAGTAAACATTAAGTTATGGTTTTACTGCTTTAACTGATAACACTGTATACTATGCATGAGTATTAGAATAAGAAACATACTTTACTGATTCTTCTATTTTATTACAGTTGAAAACACAGTTAACATAACTCAGAGTTATAACATACTGTACTTGTTTTATTGCAAATTTTAAGACGTATATAAAAGACAGCAAACTCCTACTTAAACTAAGAGATAGACACAGAGATTATGTTTTAATCTCATGTAATTTAACATAAGTGCTATACGTAGTATACTTTGAAATATTACTCAGTATTTTTAATATCAAGCATTTTTAAAATAACCTTCTAGATATGAGCTTGAATATTGAAAATACTCAAAATTACATATTTTAAATTTCAGGCGATCAGCAATAAGACTGTAATTGCATCTGGTATAAATATGGTAGCTAAGCAATAAAACATTTATTCGATCATTACAGAAATAGTCTCTTGTAAAACAACAGTTTTGTCTTAATATTTAGGAAACCAGAATTCGGGCAATGGATAAGGATAAAAAGAAAAGAATCCATAATTTCTCTGTCATCAACCCTGTTGCTGGACAGGCTACAACTCATATTTTTGCAGCTGACAACAGAGAAGATCTTCAGAAGTGGATGGAAGCCTTCTGGCAGCATCTCTTTGATCTTAGTAAGTTGACATTTGGATTTTCTAGTAGTATATTCATGTCGCATGAAGGGATGTACATAGCAATCTGAATATTAAGATTATATTATAATTGTATAGTTTGTATCAAGAATTTGTTATGCTCTTGAATAAAATGGTAGTATATCATCAGTGCATTGATGCTTTTTTGTCTCAATCTTTCCCCAGTGCATGACTGATTATAGTATAGTATACCTTTGAATTCCTAGTATTCTTACCTGTTACTTTTAAGTTCTTCTGGTCCCTAAAACAACTAGACCACATTTTTTCAAAATATTCGGTCAAACTACTTAAGGCAGTGTGTTTGATCAAAGGAATAATAAACTACATGAGGAGTAAAAAACTTCTCTAGGGTAGTGATGATCATAAAATATTGAAATGTTCAAAAGGAGATTCATTTTTATGTAGGCTTCTGTTAACTCTCAATTCATTATTATATCATTTTGGACATCATCCAAAGAGATTTTTTTTTTTAACTGCACATATGTCTTTTCAGTTTCAATAATACAGTTCAATGGCATGGATTATAAAAACAATGTGATAGTAATGTAATAGAGTCCTAGTATGTAAAATATGTGAAGTTCTAATATTCTCAATTTAAGGAGGAATTTTATCAACAGGAAAATATTGAAATTGTATATTGAAGATGTAGACTATTGATAATGGCTGTTTCTAAGCAAACTAAGCCTACTGTAGATTCAATCAGAATTTTATGTCTTTAGAATACTTTTCTACAGAACTGAAAAGTAGAGCCATTTCCAAACAATAGAAAGTTATTCCTGCAACTCCTAGAAATAATCCTGGAGATATTTTAGGACATTTTAGGAGCTGTTACCGAGAACTCTAAAAACAGTTAATATCTGCAGTCCTCAGATTAATTTTTATAAGCCTTCTGTGATCCATGGCCTGGTCAGTTATTACACTGATGGTTGAGGAGGGGGAAGAAAAGGGATCCAAATTTATTGATTACCTTCCACATACCATATGGCTTCATTTATTTTTCATAACAACCCAGTGAGGTAGAAATTTTTTCCCACTGCTCTAAAGATGAGAAAATTGAGGCCTGAAAAGGTTACAGGTTTATTGCAGGGAACCAGAGGACTCTCTGCATCGCTTTCTTGGATTCTTTAGAACTTGTTTTCCTTAAGTACTGTCCTTTGGCACTCAGTAGATATTTAAATATTTCTTCCAGGCTTATTAGCATGCGCTACATTTCTTTATTTTAAAATTTCAGCTGATCTTAGGTGTGTAACTTAAAAGACAGCAACTTCCTTTCATTTGCTGATCACAGCTAAAATTTTAACCGCTTTCCTAAATGCTCTGATTTAGAGAGTCTGTCTTATAAAAAAGACTGTGTTACTTTTAGAAATGATTCTGGCATTTTATAATTTTTATGTAGACAAAAACAGGAAGGAGGAGTAAAGGAAGGTAAAAATGCCAGAATATTATAGTCTGGATATCAGCTACTATTAGATGATCTCATGTTTTCATTCCCCAAATTATGTAAAATAATTTATCATGCTAAAAGAGGTACTTAGAGGGATAAGAATCTCATGACATTTTTATAGTGTCAAAGTAATAAGAAAGTGATGACGACTAGGTTCTCAGGTCTGGCTACTTTTTTTAGTATTTAATGCTTTGGGGATAAAATCTGCCAATCTATCTAATTTTTAAAGTATAAATTCTATTACATGTGCTGTTTAGAATTCATTGTGTAAGATATGAAGGTATGAAGCAAAGATGGAAGGGTTTATACTAACCTGAAGATTGACTTGTACTTTAAAATTTTTACCCTCCTAGTGATAAGTGTAGCCTCTTGTGATCTTAGGTGAAATATGATGTGTAGAACAAAGTAGAGGATAGATATCCAGGGCAGAATAAAGTAACAGTAATTTAATACTTAGAACAAATTTCAATTACTTGACTTAGCTTAAGAGTATAAAATCGTGAGGGTGAGATAACTGGAAATCATGAGAAAACACTAATGGAACACGGTGTGTTTAGCCTGTGGAAGAACAGCCTAAGGAGTGAAGGTTGGGAGGCAAGGGGGAGGTAATAGCTAATTTTTAATATTGGAGAGCTAACAAACATGTAAAAGAGGAATGACACTTGCTTTGGACGATCAAATAGGGTAGAGCTAGGAATGGTGAGTCAAAGATAAATTTTTTTCAAATATTTTATAATATAAATACTGAGTTAAATAAGCAGCTTAACTTGACTGGGAACATTGTAACAATAAATATGGTGGGAAACATCTTCAGTATACAGATTTTATGTGAACAAAATGCATCCATTTAATATTTCATATTGGGCCTTTATTTTTATGTTAGCATATTAGTATTACATTTAACTGTGCATGGTAAAATTTATTTACTGGTAAAATAAATGTTTAACTGTAACATCTTGACCAGTGAACATACCACATTTATACCTATGACTCTGTAATACATGGGATAATGTGGCTTTATATTCCAGTTTTCAACGTGATTAGTATTCTGCTATCAGGTTAACAATGAAAAGCTTTCATCTCTCAATATAGAAAAAAATACTGCACTACATAACTTGTCTAAGGTTCGACAGAGAATTGTTTGCTGGTTTAAAGTGTTTCATTACTTTCCCAGTAGATAAGGCCTTTTTTTCCTGCCCCCAAGAAGGAAAGGCTGGCTTTTACATATTCATCTAAAAAAGTAGAAAGGTGGAGTAAGTTATCAGGTCTCAGATCCTACTAGATTTAAATTCTACAGGGCAACCTCTGAAGCCTCAAACTCAAGATTTTATTCCCTTTATAAATTGCTGTGTGAGTTATTTTGAAATTTTTACCATATTCTATACTTAGCATTGTAATAAAACATACTGAAAGCTTCTTTTCATGTTTCTTAACTATTTTTTATGTTTCTAAGCATACTGAAAGGTTTTTTTATGTTTCTTAACTGTTAGGTGGTGGATTTTAAATTTATGCATATATTACCTTATCAACATGACAGTAAATTAGACTTAAATCAACAAAAATAGATAATTTGACTAAACATGAAGTGTCTTTAGTTTTTAAGCCATGGAAAATAAGTTGGTTATTGAATATGGAGGTTGAGAATTAAGAAGAGAGAAATATAGATCATAAATCATTATAAAAAGGCACGTGTATATTACATTTACTTTTCTGCTAATGTAAGATAGAATATAAGAATGGTAAACCTCCATAAGCTTCTTTAAGATAATGCTTTATAAATTCACTTACTTTTCAAAGCAAAAAATGTGTTAATATCTGTTGAAAATTAAATATACATCTTCACATTTATGTTTTAAACTAGCGTGCCTTTTTCTGTCTTTCTTAGGCCAATGGAAGCATTGTTGTGAAGAACTTATGAAAATTGAGAGTATGTCACCACGGAAACCACCTTTGTTCTTGACAAAAGAGGCAACCTCAGTCTACCATGATATGAGTAAGTGGGGTTTGTCTTTTCTAAGCTGCAGGGTAACAAAAACAACATTGTCCTTACTCAAGCAGCTTATTCTGTTGACATTAAAATGCTAAAATTTTCAGGGCACAGTCAAAATGAATGAAAAAAGACTATGATTATAGTCTAAGGAACTCATGTTTAATAGATGAATTAATACAAAATTAATGAATACACATTTTTCATAGTTTGAATGCTTAAGATCAAACAAAAATGTTAAGGCTTCAAAATGAATAAGGGTGCACTGAAAATAAATATTAGCTAAGTAGCTGATGAAAATTCTGTAATGTAAACTTGAGATTCTAAAATATAATTATGTTCAGTAATTTTTTTCCGTATTTTATTAAATTTGCTTTAAAGTAGCATTGATAAATGAATATTAATAAATGGACCCTTTCATCTCAGGCCAAAAAATTGGTTAAGTTTAATACTTTGGAAAATTTAAAATTTCTAGACTCATTAATATTCCATTTTCCCACACTTTGAAGGGTATTTGTCTTTGTGGGATTGCCTCAGTGAATAGTGTTGTGAATAAGCACAAGTCAGAGCTAAATTCTGGTGTATTTTTCCACCAGTGTCCCTGCACTTACATATACCTTAAAATGTTGGATTTAAAATGAAACATTTGAGTTTACACATTTGAATATATCATGTAATAGATGTTTATCTCTGTTCTGTTTTTCCCAAGGATCATAACCAAAGTGGTATTAAGGCTTCACTCTGTTTCCATGGGTTTTTTGTTTTGGATTTTTCCCCTATTACAGAGACTGCTGATCTACAGGAAAGAATACTAATGCAGTTACATTTTCCCAGTTTACATATCAGGGTTTTATAAAAGGGAATCCACTCTTACCTAGAAATCAGAATAGATTTTAAATCCAACAAAAGGTATTTTATAAATACTTAACCTGTAGAATTCAAAAAAATTCTGATGTAGCTCCACTCCTTTGAAAGCTGGATTTTACACATTTGTTTAGGAATATCTTTAAGTGTGTGTGTGTGTGTGTGTGTGTGTGTGTGTGTGTGTGTGCAGTGCACAGTACATGATCTCCATATTTATTATTATTATTTTTTTGCGGTATGTGGGCCTCTCACCGTTGTGGCCTCTCCCGTTGTGGAGCACAGGCTCCGGACGCGCAGGCTCAGCGGCCATGGCTCATGGGCCCAGCTGCTCCACGGCATGTGGGATCTTCCCGGACCGGAGCACGAACCCGTGTCCCCTGCATCGGCAGGCAGACTCTCAACCACTGCGCCACCAGGGAAGCCCGATCTCATTTTTTGGTTCCATTAGTTCGGTTATTTTTACAAGTAAACACATTAAAAAAAAAAAAAAAACCACTTGCTTATCCTAGTCTGTTTTTGATAACTATTTTAGATAACATATTGTAATAACTTTCTTGGGCAAAGCATATACTGCTTTTGAATTTTTTTCCATGTATTTTTTCTTAAAATTATTACAGGCATTGATTCACCTATAAAACTTGAAAGTTTAACTGATATAATACAAAAAAAAATTGAACAGACAAATGGAGAGTTCCTTATTGGTCAGCATGAAGATTCCTCACCACCTCCTTGGGCCACACTCTTTGATGGTAATCACCAAGCTGTCATCAAGAAAAAGGTATTATCTCCTGCAAGCAAGCAGTTACATGATGGGAAAGGGAAAAAGAGACGAGCTCCCCTTCCTCCTTCTGGTAAAGCTGCATTCAGCTTAAAAACACAGAGCAACACAGATCAATTGGTTAAGGACAACTGGGAAAAAACAAGTGTATCTCAGACTTCGCCTTTGGATACCAAATTATCAACCCTAATGCCTCACTTACAGAAACCAATGGCTGCTCCTCGAAAACTTCTTCCTGCCAGGAAAAATAGTTTAACTGCTGGTGAGCACACAGACACTAAAACCAATTGTGAAGGCAAGCCAGTGCCAGCTCCACGGCAGAAATCTATCAAAGACATTTTGGACCCTAGATCATGGTTGCAGGCACATGTGTAGAAAACCCTTAATGTCTAAGACATTTAACAAAATCTGTAACTGTAAGACTTAATTCAGAAGCACTATAGGTGTAGTAATATGTAATTATGTAGGTAAATATGACAGTGATTTACATCAATAATTAATAAGCTATTAGTTGTAAAAAATGTTTTATAATGAAGAAATGGATTTCTCTAGCAGAGTGCAGGGGGCAGTTTCTAGACAATATCCCAGTTATTGGAAGGGTCAATTTATTCCTAAGTTAGTACCAGGCAGTGAACAAGCACTAGGCAGAAGAAAGCATTAAAATTTCTTTGGGGAGGGATTGTCTAGTAATTTAAAATGTGTTAAATAAGAGCCATATTCTCATTGTGAGGATTTTAATACTAATGGAATGTTTCAAAAGTTTTATTCAAACCACAAATTATAGAATCCACCCAAGAAAATTTCTTCTTAGCATTCTGGAATTCTCATCTAATGGTCCACTGGCTCTCATCTATTGTTTAACTCACTATTTAACTCAGTGACCTTTCAGATTCCTGAGATACATTTTTGAATATTAAATTCTTCATTTTTAAAGGGAATATGTAATGTGCTCTTCAAAGTTGTTTCCTTGATGAGCCCTGAAATCCTGTTGACATTAACTCTCATAAGTAAAGCAAAACATTTTTTAGTTTAAGGAACAGGTAGATGAAATGTACTTTACTTCCACTTTTCTATGCATGGTACTAATTTCTATTGTGACATTGGCATTTGGGGAAGTGAGTAGCTGATTAACACCTTAAGATTCATTCAATACTTATTTAAAAAGCAGATGGCCGATTCAAAATATCAGAAAAGTTGGCCATGATAATAATTTTCAGAATTAATCCATCTAAAAAATTTTAATTAGATTTCCTTTTTCTAGTAAGGGTTCATGTCTGCTACTGATATTTTCATTAAAAGTCATACTCTTTCAATAATGACATTGGAATCATTTCCATAGGAGGTAATTTCCATAGCAACTAATCATAGTGACACAAACAAGATTATGAAATCAAGTGATGAATAAATAGCAACAGAATGAATACCTCAAAGGAACAAAAAAATCCATTTTCTTAATAATTATGCTTCTTATAAACAACAGCTAGACAATTTTGAAAAATCTAATCAGAATTTCCAAGTAAAATAAAACAGTTTCCTTAAGGTGTCAGCAACAGCACTAAAAATCTCAATTCACACCGAACCCTAAATGTCATTGCAACAAATGAAAATATAAGAATTAAATTACTGCCCTGTGTATAATCTCTAGAGATCTTTTTAAAGCTTGTAAGAACTCTATTTGGATCAGAACTACATTATTTTAAAGTAAAATGAACACTTGACAAAAAATAACATTAATTTAAATGGAGCCTTTCATTATTTTTAGATAGCAGAGTCTTTTTTCATTTATGTAGAATGATGTAACTGCCAGGTTACTTTTGTGTTTACCCAGGACTCCTAGTAAGAATTGGGACTCAAGGGAGTAATGATACAAAAGGTCTCTTGTGACTGGCGACACCAGGATAGACATAGCATTTGATGAGAAGGAAATCCTATATGGTTGCCTGATAGAATTTAGAGACAATCAAGTGTATGAAAACCTAAAAAGGTAGGATTAATTTGTTTTTTCTAACTAGAAGGCTCTCGTAAATCTCAGTTCTGATTGCCAGTTCAGTAAATGACATTAAAAATCTAATGGATATTATTTTTGTTTATTTTTTAAACCTCACTGCTGTTTTTGACAGCATTTTGACTGTCGTTGCCACTAAATTATTGAGCTAGAAGATGCTGCAGGAAAAATTGTTTCTGAAACTGGCATCTAAGCATTCTTGTTTTTTTGTTTTTTTTTAGTTAAAGCCTTCCTTAGAACAAACCAGTGTTAAAACTTCCAAATTATATGCTTGTCATTTCTCCTTATGCGTATTATATCAAGAAGGATTTAAGTTGTACAGGAAACAGAATTTGTTCTTAGAGAAATTACCTAGCAGTTGTGCCCTTAGGGGGCACTTTGAAACAAGCCTGAAGCCCATCTTCCTAGAAACATTTAGGCGAAGCCTGACCAAGGACCACCTCCCCCCAAAATTATTTAGGCTGTTTCTGGGGTCCCATCTTACTGTATGTTACAAAGCCTTTAAAATCCGACTGTAGTCTTCAGCTGTACTTCTTTTGACATGGTACTCATTAGATGTTAGTTCTCCCCACTCATAATAAAAAGTTAAGGATCCTTCCCTCCTTCCCTCCCTCCCTCTCCCTTCCTTCCACAGTTAAACAAAAATCTAAAAATACTGAGTTAAACACTTTGTCAAGGAGTTTGTCAAAAGAACTATTTGTTTTCTCATTTCCTAAACCGGAAGTTTATGACAGAGAAAAATATACCATGTAATAAAAACATTTCAGCTTTTTATGAGCTGGCTTTTTATATTCCTTGTTTGTCCTTTTCATTTGTTTCTTGATATATGAAGACTAATAAACTTGAAACAAGGAGTTAGCTGTCAGATCTTGATAATAATGTTATAATTGGAGATACATAATAGAAAGAATAGGTATTTTATTATAATTCAGATGATCTGATAATAATATCTTAGAAAATTACATTTCAAGCTCTGGGATATAAATTACTTAAAACATCATTAAGATAGTATTTTAATTGCTACAAAGTAATGAGCTTTTTATTTAAACATCTTTCAAGTACAAAGAAAGCATTTTGTTATTAGAAATGCACACCTCCTAAGGTAAACAGTCTTTAAAAATATCAGGCATGCCAACTCGTGGTTAGTTTTGTTAAATCCTCCCTAACTGTCTGCAGTGCCCCCCTGACTTCTTTTAAATGGACGTGCATGTATGTGGAAAACTAAATCCATTTATTATAAATGCCTTATCTTTACCCTTTAGGTTCCTACTAAATGTATTTTACCGGGTACTGTTTATTAAAATGGAAACTTCCTTGATTTAGAGACAGTTCATGTAAGGTAGGTTAAGCAGTCAAGTATTTCTTTAGGCTTATGCTCAGCTCCTCAGCCACCTACTGAGAAGTTAATTAATTCAGTACAAAATGAAATTATAGGGCAGTTTGGTGCAGTTTATGTTAAATGCCATTTGAATGTAATCACCTGTGTTACCTTGAACGAGGAACAACCATACTAGATAGAGATAGAATGCTGCACCATGAGCAAGAGAAGTGCTTTGGCAGGAAAAATATCTGTCCCTGTGGTTAGAATTTATCAAAACTCATTGTCTTTTTAAAGAGTGAATTATTGAGCAGTAATTAAACTTTAACTGATGACCATTTATATTCTCATAGTTGTCTTTGGTGTTCTATTAGTCTTAAGCTACAATGTGGATAGAGTTGACTTTTTGCATTTACATTTCAAAGACATTACTATTTGTAAATGTTTACATGTTTATGTGTAACTGCTTCATTGCTAATAATAATTATAATAAAAATGGTTTATTCTGTATCATGCATATTCTAAGTTAATACTAGAAAAGTGTTACCTTTGAATTTTTTTTTTTTTTTTTTTTTTTTTTTTTTTTGCGGTACGTGGGCCCCTCATTTCTGTGGCCTCTCCCTTTGCAGAGCACAGGCTCCGGACGCGCAGGCTCAGCGGCCATGGCTCACTGGCCCAGCCGCTCCGCAGCATGTGGGATCCTCCTGGACCGGGGCACGAACCCGTGTCCCCTGCATCGGCAGGCGGACTCTCAACCACTGTGCCACCAGGGAAGCCCCTTTGAATTTTTAAGAGACGAGATTTCAGTTGAAAATATGGTCAGATATGTTATTTTCTATGACATACTTGTATCATTGGCATTATTTTTATTTTTTAATTAAATGCGGGTCAAGCTTCTGGATTAAAAAGTATTATATCATGGATACATATGTATATATTTTTAAGTATTAGAGATTGATAAGGAAGCCAAGGTCATGTGATTAAAACTTCTATATTTTAGAAGAAGTGATTCATGAAAGCATTTTCTAGATTTTTCCTTTAGGTACCCCCTCTGGGCTATAGACTGATAGAAGTAAACAGTGTTGTGAAATCAGGTTAAACAGAGAAAGACATACTACCCAGCAGCTGGTGCTAATTATTGTAAGATTAATATTCAATAGCCTTGGTATAACTTACATTTGTTACAATGTTGTATATAATCCTCTTACACTGTATTCTTCTGAAAATCCATTGATGTAACCTTAGTTTTTAGGTTAGTGGTGCATAATTTCCCCAGAGCTTAAGTTACTCTGATAATAAATTAGGGACCTAGGATACTCAGTTGCTGTTAGCCACAAGGAGACTCATTTTAATGCACCTCCCTCAGTACTTAATTTATTCCCATGGAGCACCTCAGGGAAGAGGGAGAGAAATGAGCAATCCTGGCTCAAATATATTATTTCAGCATTTTACTTCTAAATCTGTAGTGTGACCAGAAATATTTAACATTCCTTTTTCGAAGAAACATCCCTTTCTCTAAGGAGAGAGGACTGCTAATCAGTGTGCTCACAGAAGCAAAATACCTTAAGTTTCCAATAACATAAATTTAACTATTAAAGAAATATTAACATTTTAATTTATCTCAAGATAGGAAAAAATACCAATCCTGGCAATGTTTGATAGGCAAAGTCACTCCAAATCTTGCTAAAATTGTGTTTTAAATTGCAGCAGTTTGCTTTGAGAGATGTGGTAATCTCTTAATGTAACTACTAAAGGAGAGATAGATTGAGAAGATCTTATATATACATAATTATGCTGTATCATAAACATGTTGCAAGATATCAAAATAGATCATTTTGCTGAAAATGAATACTTTTCTGAGTGTTGTATCAAGATTTATTTTTTTTTACTCAAAAGAAGACAATTTTTTTTGTGTGTGAATGGATATATTTTTGTTGAATTTAGCCAACTGAGAAACATATTTTCAACTTAATTAGTTGCAGCAATTTTAATTTTACCTTAAAGGGGAGGAAAAGTATCAAGAGTTATCCATCTATTCACCTTAATTATTAA